ATTATATAGAGCTATGATTTAAGTATGCCCTCAATATTCTCATGTTGAAACTTAATCACCAATGCGATGTCATTCACAGATGCAGTCCTTGGTCCTCCTAAAGCAGGTGCCAGGGAGCTCTTTGTCCTGCTCTGTGTGGATACAACAGCAAGGCAGCCTCTGTGGGCCAGAGAGCAAGTTCTTATCAGATACCAAAACAGCCTGTACCTCTCTCTTGGGATTCCCAGTTTCAGAACCATGAGAAACAAATTTCTATAATTATCTAGCATAAGGCTCACAGCAGCCCAGTATAAAGCATCGATAAATATTAATTTGTTTTATTTAAGAATTTTTCATTTTTCTCAGAAGTCATCAGTTTTACAGATAAGTCTCCAGAGTTGCAAAGGTAGTAACGATTTGGTGTATACTTCAGAGTTCTCCACTACCTTGCTTTAACTTAGGGTCCAAGGGTATTCTTGCCTGTTGTCTCCTTCCAGGTGCCAGTGTCAAGAGAGTTTTTAGCCTGGAGAGTCAAAATTCACACTGGCAGGAAGTTTATCAAAGGTTTTTTTAGTTTAGAATTAATTTAAAGCAGCTCCCTGCACCTTTACATGTGAGCTAGGGTAATTGGGACATGGGAGAGAGAGCAGCTGGTTCAGAAATTCCATAGGCAGACGTTGTTAGCTTGGCTTTTGTTAAGTGTTTTCCAATTTCTATCCTCCAGACCTTCCACCTAAGCAGAGTTTTGTTGCACAGGCATATACATAGTTTAGGGGTTCTACTGGACTAGACTTGAAGCTTCAGTTATCTTCATGTATTTCTCTCCCCTACCTCTCCCCCCCACCTTCCCAACCTAATATACATGATCTAATCCTAGGTCTCAGTCTCCTGAGTAGACAGGATCACAGGTATAAGCCATCTGGCTCTCTGGATGGAATTTTTTGAGTGTGTGCTAGTCCTGGAGCTTGAACTCAAGGCCTTGGCACTGTCTCTGTGCATTTATATTCAAGGTTAGCACTTTACACTTGAGCCATAGCTCCACTTCTGGCTTTTTGGTGGTTAATTGGAACTAAGAGTCTCATAGACTTTCCTGTCTGGGCTGGTTTTGAACTGCAGTCCTCAGATCTCATCCTCCTGAGTAGCTAGGATTACAAGTGTGAGCCACTTGTGCCCAGCTCCTTATAAAAGTTTCAAGCAGTTAGATGTGCTGATTAAAATGGTAATCCCCAGGGGTTTTTTCTTAAAATACTAAATAAATGATGGTGATGTTATATTTTCGATCAATTTGATAAACAGTTCCACTTTTCTCTATGATTCCTTCTTAGAGATACAGATGCTTTAGAAGAATGCTGTAGAATTTCCAATAGTTGGAGTTTTCATAGATAACATAACAGTAATTGATTTCTAATTTAATTCCATTATTATCAGAAAATATTCTGTAATATTTCTTCCTTTCTTACCTTTGTTCCTTCCTTTCTCTTCTTGTGTTCTATCCATTTCACCCTCCCTTCTTCCTCTTCTTCCTTCCCTCCCTCCTTTCTTCCCTCCTTCTTCTCTTCCTTCCTTCCCTCCCTCCTTCCTTCCCTCCCTCCTTCTTTCCTTCCCACCTTCTTTCCTTCCTTCCTTCTTTTCTTCTCCTTTCATTGTTTTTTTCTTATGGCACTGGAGATTGAATTTAGGGTTAGCACATGCTAAGCCGCTGCCTTACCACTTAAGCCATATACTCAGTTCTTTTGCTTTTGTTTTTCAGATAGGGTTTGACTAACGTTGCTCTGGCTGACCCTTCATTCCTTATCTTGCCTCAGCCTCCCAAGTAACTTGGATTACAGGACTACTGCTGTAGTTATTGTTCTACTGTTTCTGTTTCCCCCTGCCTTCTTTTGAATTATCTAAATGCATATTTTAAATTTCTATTTGTTTTTAGTTGTTTCTTTTTTAGTTTTTACTGGTTTCTGTACACATTAAAATATGCACAATCTAACTTGTTCACAATTTGCTCCAAGTAAAATTGTACTTTATATAAATATATAAAACCTTTTAAGTTACATAGATCTATATACGATCCCCATCCTTTTTCATATATTACTCTGAACTCTACAAGACTATCTATAGATATTTACATATATATATATATATATATATGTATATTTTCATTCAACAGTCCTATGTACTTTAAAATAAGCAAGTCAAAACCCAGATCTAACTGCTCCAGTCATTTCTGAAGTTTCCCTTCTGCCTCAGTACTGGCATTTTAGGGCCTTGTGCTAACTAAGCAAGTGATCCACCAAGTGAGCAATGCTGCCAGTTCTTAAGGATATACATGTGTGTGTGTGTGTGTGTGTGTGTGTGTGTGTCTGTGTCTCTGTGTGTGTCTATGTCTGTGTGTGTCCGTGTGTGCCAGTTACTCAGAGCTACTTCTGGCTTTTTGTTGTTTAAGTGGATATAGTCTCAAATTTGCCTGACCAGACTGGCTTCAAACTGTAATCCTCAGATCTCAGCCTCTTGAGTAGCTAGGATTATAGGTGTGAGATAGCAGGGCCCAACTCTTGAAGGAAATTTTTTGCTTGATATAAAATTCTAGCTGAGTTTATATGGCTGACAGACATTTTTCTTTCAGCACTTTACTGTTCCAGAATCCACTGGCTATTGTGGGTCCTGTTTTTTCGTAGGTTCCTAATGAATAGCCTGGGGGTATGTTGACTGTTGTTCTGTGTGTAACTTCTTGCTTTTCTCTTGCTGCTCTAAGGATCTGTTTCAAAAACTTGACTAGATGCCTAACTATGGTTTTCTGTAATCACCAGCCAAAATTCTAGTTAATGACATTGTGCTGGTTTATGTCATGACCTACCACCACTATTATTTACAAAGGGGGTGGGGAACCCTGGGAAATTCTGATTCAGAGTGACCTAGCAATTTCTTATCATATTACCCTCCCACAGATAAAAACATAGCTGGACAAAATACACACACACACACACACACACACACACACACACACACTTTAAATGCCCTGGAGTCAACAAAAAAAGGAAGGAAAAAATGAAACTTGAAATAACTAACTTGGAAGGGGTGAAGTTGTATTTTTACAGCTTTTGTAGCATGATCATAGACTACAAGTTGGTACTGAATAATGATAGAAAAGTCATGTTTTTTTCTGGTCCGGCCAGAAAAATACCAAAAGACAAAGTTCAGACCAACCAAAACTGCTAGAAAGTAAGTACGGAATATAGAAAGAAGAAAAGCAAAGGGAAACTTTATGGCCAACTCTGGAATCCTACATATTTAGGAAAACTGCAAATAGCTAGTGAAAAATAAAACAGCTGAACTGAAATTTAAGCTACTGTTTTAAGAGTCATTTGATATTTTCAACCCAGTCAGGTGATTGGTTGAAAAAAAAAGAATAATCAATATTCTCTGTAAGCTATTAGGTATCCATAGTCCCCATCATATCATTTCTTGGCTTTTTGACCAAGATAAAAAAATCTTCACAATAAAATGGTCACTAAGCTCAATTTCATATATAACCCCCAGGAGCATTGGGCACCAGGAGATTGCTCATACCTGTGAGCAGCTATGGGAAGTACTTCTGAGAAGGCTGAGATATGAGGATCATGGTTGGAAGCCAGGCTAGGCATTGTCACCAAGTAACTACCAAAAAAAACACCCCAAAACAAACAAACAAAAAATAGAAAAAGAGCTGTGGCCCAAGTGGTAGAGCATTCACTTTAAGCAGAATGCCCAGGCCCTGAGTTCAAGCCTGTGACTGGCACACACACACAAACAAAATAGTAATAAAAAATCCAGGATATTGAAATCTAGTCTCAACAATAAAACAAGATTAATCCTTATTGACCCAGATATTGGAATAACTTATAAGCAACCACTTGGTGGAAAAAGAAAACTATATTGATAGTGAATGGGAAATTGGAAATCTTGTAAAAAGTATAAATTTTTGAAAATATAAACAGTAGCACTCAAAAAAAAGTTCTATACCTGAAATTTAAAAATTCCCTGGCTGAGCTAAAACAAAATGGAAATGTGTGAGGAGAGAGGAATCATAAAGACAGAAAAAGATGCGTGAAAAATAAAAACAGAGATTTAGAAACTTGTACAGCATTAATGAAAGGTCTGACATGTGTGATAGAGGACCAGAGAGAGAGGAGAGGAAGAATGAGGTAGAAAAAAGAAATTCTTTCATCTAGTAACAGACACAAATTATGATATTCCAGACACACAAAATCGTTAGTTCAAATCCCCAGTATGGTGAAAAGAGAAAAAGCTATTGAGATCTGATTTTTCTTTAAATTATTAAAAATCTGCACATGAGTTAGAGTGTTATTTTTGATACACATATATTTTAGTTATCAAATAAAAAATTAGCATGCACATAATCTTAAACATTGTGTGGCAGGAATACTCAAAATCCTTTCTGCTAACAATTTTGAAATGTATAGTGAATTATCGTCAGCTATTGTCATCCTATTGTTCTATTGAACAGTAGAACTTAATCCTATTTATTAACTAATCAGTGTATTGGTGCTGGTGATCAAATCCCAGGGCTTTGCCCATGCTAAGTGCTCACTACTACTTCACTACACAGCTGGTCCTGTGTGTGTGTGTGTGTGTGTGTGTGTGTGTGTGTGTGTGTTTAGACAGTTACACACGTCTCCGCCAAGGGACTAATACCCACGCTTACACTGGGGTGGCAGAATAATACGGTATTACGGAAAAGGAGAAATGTTTAGATACATGAACTTAACTTTTGTCAGACTTACCAGCAACTCCCCGCTCAGACAAGACTTCTCACAAGAGACCATTCTCACACAGAATTAGTTGTGCTCACATCAATCTTTACTATTCATAACAAAACTAGTTCTACTACCAGCGGAGGTGGTGGGACACTTCATCTTTCCTTCAACCGAAATGCCGCCAAGACTTTATAGATATATATAAATATAAAAAAGAGTCAAGTTACACGTGTGAGAGTCCCACAGAGCTTGGCAGCCTTTGTCGATGGACGGTTAGCACTGTTTCACCAAATCGTAGACGTAGACGTGGTAATCATCATCGAACTTGATGAAGCACATGGACGGCTTGGCTTTCACCTGATGAATGACCATGCCAATGTTTCTCGAGCCGTCCGTTTTCTCGCATCGCAGTCGTTTGCCTTTCATGCTGTCCACAATCGCCAGCTCCCTGGGCGTCGGCAGCGACTCGATCGAGTCGGGCATGATGTAAAGGTCGCCGGCCCGGTAGTCATCCAGGAGCTGGTACGTGTACAAAATGGGGTCTTTCTCGTAGGTGATGTAAAACCACGTGTTCATATCGGGCACCCGCGCCAGGACCACTCCCTTCCACTCGTGTCTGGAGCCATCCTCCGCCTCGAACACGTGCTTCACCGTCTTGCCAATCATGGCGTCGGCTAACCGGGCTAAGTGCTGGTCGCTGATGCGAGACGCGGCCACCCGGTCGGGGAGGATCTTGAGGGCGCACACGTTCTCGTCGTTGCTCAGCTCCAGTCCGTACACGCAGTGGAACCCGTCGTACTTGATCAGGTACAAGGAAGGGCTCACGAGCACCTGGTTCAGGATGGTCCCCGTCCACTGCGACACCAGGCCGTCGTCCTCCCGCCAGCCGTGCTCGATCCTGCGGCCCACCATGCTCCGGGAAGGCTTGCGCTTTCCGGTGGTGAAGCGGCGCTTCCGGCGAGACTTCCTCTTCTGGTGGGTAGACATGCCAGGAGGCCCCGTGGCTACCAGCCCGGCGCGGCGAGCCAGAGGACTGTTCCCATCAGGTCTCCATTTCTTGAAGCAGCAGAGCCGCTTGACTGGGGTGGGGAAGCAACGTCAGTCACTTCCGTGGTCACTTCCGTGGCTCCCTCGCACTCCCGACCCCGCCTCGGCCTCGCCTCGCTGCTGCTCCCAGCCTGGGCCTCAGCTGCCTCGCCTGCCCCACCTGGCCGGCCAACTGCCACCGCGCATGCGCCCAACTGTACTGGGCCTCCTGCCCTCCTCTAACCGCCCGCCCCCCATGCTCCCGGCATCCCTCCCCAACCCGCGCTTCTGCTACAGGAGGGGTCTGTCTGTCTGTGCCTGGCTTGAATGTCCTCCCTGACACACATGATCAGATTTTCATCTTTTTGTGCAGTCATAAAACTGGAATATATGATTTCTATGTAAACACAGAGACATATGTATATATTCACACATACACTGTGTATACATGATGTATGTGCATACATTATTCATAGTCCACTAGGTATATATATAACACATTTTCTTTATGTAAATCCTGAGGTTAATTACCTATTTTGGCTATGAAGAATAGTGCCATGGTACACATAAAAGCATAGATACCTTTTCAACACAGTGATTTTCTTTAGATGCAGCCATAATATTGGCATCTTATATATGCTACATATGCAGACACACACATATATGTACACATTCACTGTGTGTATGCTATGTCTATGTGTATATTATTCATATTCCACTTTGCATACAGCATATTTTTATCCACTTATCTATCTCTGACTTCTGAGATTAATTTTGTATCTTGGTTCTCAAAGGTAGTGCCGTGCTGCTGGGCGCTGGTGGCACACACTTGTAATCTTAACTATTCAGGAGGCTAAGATCCGAGGACCACAGTTCAAACACAGCCTTGGTAGGAAAGGCCAGGAGACTATCATCTTCAATTAGTCACCAGAGAACCAGTAGTGAAGCTGTGGTCCAAAGTGGTAGAATGCTAGCCTTTAGCAAATAGTTCAGGGACAGTGCTCAAGCCCCATGACAAAAATAAAACAAAACAAAAACAAAACAAAAAACACTGATTTTTTTATTTCCTTACCCTTGAAAATTATAACCAGTAGTTGGGTTGCTAGATCATATTGCACCTCTTCCCTGCCTCCCCCTGAGGACACTCCATATTATTTTCCATAATGGCTGTACTAATTTACATTCCCAGCAACAGTATACATGAATCACTCATCAGAACTTTTTGAAGATCTTTCTTATGGTAGTCATTTTACCTGATGAGAAGATACTGCATTACTGTAGTTTTGATTTGCGCTTCCCAGATGAGCAAAATGCTGGTGTTTTTAAATATGATCCACAGGCTCTTTGTATGTCTTCTTTTGGGAAATGTCTCGTTAGATCATTTGCCTACTTTTAATTGGTTTAGATTTTTGTGTGTTTTGTTTTTCCTGTTAAGTTCTGTACATATTTGAGATATTAGTCCCTTGTTGAATGATTGATGACCAAGTATAGTTTCCCATTCTGTAAGCTATCTTTTTGTTCTGTTGTTTTCTTTGCTATGCAGAAGCAGCAATTAGGTAGAAGTAGGTTCTTTTTCCTTTCCTTTTTATTTTTCAGTACTATAGATTGAATTCAAGGCCTTGTCCTTAGTAGACAGATGTTCTACCACTTGAGCCATGTCTCCAGACCCCTGTTTATGTGTTTTGTTAGCTGTGCTTTTTTTTTTTTTTTAATCTGTCATGGGGCCTGAACTCTGGGCCTGGGGGCTGTCCCTCAGCTCTTCAACTCAAGGCTAGCACTTTACCACTTGAGCCACGGTGCCACTTCCAGCTTTTTCTGCTTATATGGTGCTGAGGAATTGAACCCAGGGCCTCATGCATGCAAGGCAAGCACTACCACTGACCACTTTCCCAGCCCTTAGCTGTGCTTTTGAAGTCTTCTTCTTCTTTTTTTTTAATCTTTGCTCATACTAATATCTTGAAATTGTTTCCTTATGTTTTCTGCTAGTAGTTTCATAGTTTCACGTCTTGCATTTAAATATCTGATCCTTTTTTTCCCCTTTGATAGTACTGGGGTTTGAACTTAAGAGCCTCATGCTAGATTTTGTTTTTTTTCTTTTGCTGGTCCTGGCCTTAAACTCAGGACCTGAACTTCTTTTGCTCAAGGCTAGCACTCTACCACTTAGGTCACACTCCACCTCTGTCTTTTTGGCAACTTATCAGAGCGGCTCCAGACTTTTCTGTCCTGGTTGGCTTTGAGCCATGATCTTCAGATCTTAGCCTCCTGAGTAGCTAGGATTACAGGCGTGAGTCACCAGTGCCCAGCATGCCATATATATATATATATATATATATATACATATATATATATATAAAGATATCAAAGGCTTTATTTAAATATACTGATAATGCACATGGCAACATACATTATATGCAGTCTTACATTTTTTATTGTGAAAATACTGTACAGAGGGTTTACAATTACATGGGCAAAATAATGAGTACATTTCTTATCAAGCATTGTAGCCTCCTTCTTTGTTTCCCCTTCCCATCCCTTCCCATACTCCCCCCACCCCTCCACCAGCCATATATTTTTGAGACAGGTTCTCACTTCTTGCCCAAACAGGTGCCTGGCTTCCTGTAATTGCTAGACCACAGGCATATGCCACCACATCCAGCTTGCTTCATTGAGATATAATCTCACAGACTCTGCTTCCTAGACTAGCCTGTAACAGCAATCCTGTCAATCTCAGCCTTCCATGTACCAGTTTTTATTAGGTTATCCTTTTCCTTTCCTGGACCCTTTTTCCTTTCCACTGAACTCAACAGTGAATGAAGAAGGTGTTTTGTGAACATTTTTGCCTGGGCTGGCCAAAAATTATAATCCTCCCATTCCTAGAGCCCAAGTAGCTAGGATTTACAGGCATAAAGCACTGGCACTTGGTTAGTCTTTAATCTTATTCTACGGTGATTTTGTCTAGTTTTGCTCTACATATGTATATTAAGTTTTTTCTACACCACTTATTAAAGAGATTTTCCTTTTTCTAATATGTTGTTATTGGCATTTTTGCTGAAAATCATTTGCTTGTATATAGGTGAACTTACTTCTCAGTTCTCAATTCTGTTCCATTGGTTAATTATACCGTGTTATGATTTTTTGTTTTGGAGATAGGTCCTCTAACTTTATCAGGCTAACATTCAACTTATAATGTTTCTTCCTTTGCCTTCCAAGTAACTGAGATTATAATTAGTTCCAGCTTTGTTCGTTTTGCTCAGAATTGCTTTGGCTATTTAGAGCCTTTTATGGACCCATACAAATTTTTGAATGGGTATTTCTCTTTTTGTAAAGAATGTTGTTGGAATTTTGGTAGAGTAACAATGAATTTGTGGATTTCTTTAGGTAGTATGGATAATTTTTAATGATATTCCAGTCCACAACATGGGTTTTGTGTGTGTGTGTGTGTGTGTACATGCACACGTGTATTTGGTGTGTGTATGTTCTTCACTTTTCATTTCCTGGCTTGAATTTATTCCTAGGTAATGTTTTTCAGTACCAACTGTAAATGGAATTACTTCTTGATTTGTGTGTGTGTGTGTGTGTGTGTGTGTGTGTGTGTGTGTGTGTGTGTACACGCACCTGTCCTGTCCTGAGTCTTGAACTCAGGTCCTGGAAGCTCTCCCTGAACTTCTTTCGTTCAAGTACTCTACAACTTAAGCCACACCTCCACTGCTGGGATTTTTAATAATTTCTTAGAGATAAGAATTGCATGGACTTTCCTGCTTAGTCTGGCTTCTGAGGATCTCAGCCTTCTGAGTGACTAGGCGTGAGCCACTGGTGCTCAGTTTGCTTTCTTTCTTTAAGCCAGTTCATTATCAGTTTGTAGAAATGCTACTTGGAAGATTGAATTCAAAGCCTTTCACAAGTTAGATAAATGTTCTACAACTGAGCTAAATCTCTAGCTGAAATGCTACTAATTTTTGAATGCTGCTTTTGTATTCTATATAACTGAATAATTTTGTCAGTTTGAAGATGTTTCTGGTTAACTTTTTTTCGGTTTTTCTATATAAAACCAAGCCAACTACTCACAAAATCAATTTGACTTCAACCTTTTCGATGTGAATACTTTTTATTTCTTCTCATTGTCTAATGCTCTGGCTAGGATTTTTTAGTACTAAGTTGAATAAGAGTGCTGAAAGTTGCCATCTTAGTCTAGGTTTTCCAGGAAAATTTTTCAACCTTTTAAAAATATAGTAATACTGTAGCTCTGGAACTTTGTATATGGCCTTTAATTTCTTAAGGATATTTTTTCTAATTAAAAAAGTCATAATTAGTTGTTGCTTCTCCCTCCCCTATCTTTTATTTTTCATTTTTTCTTCAAAAAATGTTAACATTAGTTTCCCAACACCAATTAAAGCAATTGTTTCAGCCAGGTGCTGGTGGCTCTGGAGGCTGAGATCTGAGGATTGAGGTTCAAAGCCAGCCCAGGCAGAAAAGCTGGTGAGACTCTTATTTCCAATTAACTACCAGAAACTGAGCTGTGGCTCAAAGTGGTAGAATGCTAGTCTTAAGCAAAAAAGCTCAGGGACAGTGCCCAAGCCCTGAGTTTAAGCCCCACAATCAATAAAAATTAATAAACAACATAAAGCCATTGTCCCAATTTCAACAATGAAGGACTTTAGAACCATTTACCTCTGAATTTTTAGGTGATGGTCCATTTGGGGGCTGTATTTTTTGAGAAGAGAGGCACAGCTCCCCTCCCCCCGCCCCAATTAGGACACATAACTACCTTTTTCCAGCCAGAATATTATCAGGAGCCACTGAATGCCACATTCTAATTTTTTCTGTATCTAGTAAAATGACTGTATGTCTTTTGCCCTTCATTCTGTTAATGTGATTTATTGTGTTTCTAGATTTGTGTATTGTTGAACCAAACTTACATTCCTGGGACAAATTCCAATTGATCATAGGACATAATCCTTTTTATATGTTGCTAGCATCTGTTTGCAGTATTTTGTTAAAATTTTTACATCAATGTTACAGATATTAGCCCATCTTCTCTTTCTTTTCTCCCTTTTCTTTTTCTTTCTTTCTTCCTTGCTTCCTTCCTTCATTCCTTCCTTTCTCCTTGATTCTTGTCTTATTTTGTTATAAGAGTAATGTTCACTTCCCAGAATGAGTTTGAAGGAATTCACTCTATTTTAAATAGTTGAGATAATTTATAAGGAATTGGTAGTATTT